GCCAACTTTTGTAGACAAAATACGAAAATGTCCATTCCAGTGACTTTTTGGAGAATTCACAAATGCAGGAAAGACGCACTTCTGATTATTTCGTTAACGCTGATTTCGTGAAGAATATAGTCAAATGCCTGTATCTCATATAGATGCGTTTCAGTCAAAACCCAATAATAAATGTTAATCTTTTACCACTTCTGAAAGATTATAGGTCTTTGAGAAATATTGGTTCCAGATCTAGGAAGACAATTTACGTGCAACATCTACCAATAAATTGGAAATGAGCAAATTAGTTTCAGTTGCTATTATTCGAAAATTAGAGAACGAAACCTGATGGTTTTCTTTTATTATTTGTCATAATATCTTGTGGAATTCTTTCGATTATCTCGCCTATATAAACTGTATCATTTATTATAGTGTTGTAGGGTATTCAACGGTCGGTCCCGACTGTAGCCTTTGCTTACTTGTTTTCTACTTAGAACTCGAATTACCAAAAATTTCCGAAATTAGTTTTAAGCAAATAAGCAAAGACTATATTCGTGCGGCGCCGACCATGTGATACCCTACTACACTACAAAATGTTAGAAGCCCCCTTATGTCCAAATCAATTTTGGAAAATTTCGCTTTTGAAATTATGTCACGCACGGAGCACTGCCAAGATATTACCCTTAGCATTTTGACCAGGGACACTTGCCCAATATATACGCACTTCGTCGTGCTGTTAGTTGTTGTGGTCCATTCAAAAAATTCTACCACCAAATAATTATAAATTTAATTCAATATTCCGGTGCAACTCTTATATGAAGATACCCCTAATTTCACTTATGGCGATTGTCATTCCCACAAATTTTTTCGCTCAGGCTATTTTATTTTCAATATTTTCAACTTAATATATTGGAACATTTCACGAACATTAATTAAGAATTCTCAAACCATTAAATAGCCATTCATAAGCGTATTATAAAGATTTATTTATTCAATTGAATAAACTTTTCTAAATAGAATGCCAATCATAAGGCATCAATCAGCTGCTATATACATAAAATGGAGATTTATGGTCACATTCAATTTGGAGCAATTTGAAAATTTGTGAATTCATGATTTACAGATAGCACAAATATATTTATGTCTGTATGGTTGTGAATAGCTTGTATTTCATTCGAATACAAATAAAATCTCCACAGTCGTTCGACAACGCATTCAATATTGGGATTATGTCGTAAATACAACCAAATTCCAGTTTAATGGCATTATTAGCGACACACGCACACACATAATCACACATTCAGCAACGCACAGGCCTAATACATACATACATTGATAGATATTATTGTCCATTGTTTTGCTAGCCATGGGTTGCTGCTCCGTTGAGAACCACAACATATGACATAACTCTTATTTAAATTGAAATTAAGAATAAAGTTATGTAAATTAAAATATGAATTTGATCAACAATCATTTTTGAAGAACTCACACAATGTGTTTTGGACAAGGTGTCAGTGATCTCTGGCGGTTGGTTGAAATTAACGTTGGGAATTGTATAACAATGGTGGTAGTGATTTTTTCTAAAGAATATTTATTAGTTTTGTTAAGAGAAAAAAATACAATAGGATTGAAAAGCCAATAAAACCCCAATTTTAAAGTAACAGTATAGCCTTTTGTTCAAAAGTCACAATGAAATAAAAAAAATAATTTTAACTTTAAAAATAGAACGAAAATAAAATCAAATTTTGAATATCTAACAAAAAACTATCGGGATTTTTAAATCAATATTTAATTACATTTTAAACAATTTTGAAAGAAATGTTAACACAATCCGTGTTTTATGAGGGCAGCAGAATTGTGTGGTCATTACGTAAGAATGAGCCAGGTAAGTTCATCATTTCACTGCTAAAATATGTCTCATCGAAATAACGAATATATTTCAAAGAAATTTGTTTATGGGCATTTGTAGAAGACCTAGATCTCTTTCAGTCTAAATGGACTCGAACTTGGTATACGGCAATATTTGTTTTATTGGACTAAAATTGGGTTCAGAGATGGACAATATCAGTACACTCCATCTGGTACCTTCCCACAAAACTTCATACGTTTCACAAAATATTAATTTCTCGAAGAAAGTCTAGGAAGCTTTCGTTTTGGTTGAATATTTACATATGTTTTGTACAAGGTGAAGGTGAAAAAATTCGGAAAAAATCGCATATGTTAATTTACAATATGGGCCCTCTCTTTTTATACCCTCTATCATTCTGTGGAGGGTATATTAACTTTGTCATTCAATTTGTAACTCCTCGAAATGTATATAATACCCCCTACAAAGTATGTATATTATGGATCAGTGTAAAATTTTAAGACGATCTTGCGATGTCCGTCTATCTGTCTGTCCGTTTGTCTGTCTGTTCTCACTCCATCTTTCGAACGAATTGAGATAGAAGGCTAAAATTGTGCATACATGCATAGTTTACCAGTAGGCAGGTTAAGTTCGTAAATGGCCATGTCGGTCCACGTTTTCGTTTAGCACCCATATAACGGAACCCCTCCCGATATTCTGTATTTTCATGATTTTAGCAACATTATTTACCGGAATTATTTCGAATTTCGTATTTGAAGTTCGTAATGGGTAGCCCATGACAAACATTTTTGTACGTCTTTCTATAGACCCCATATAACGGTTGCTCCCAATATTCGGTATTTTGATGATTCTAGCGACATTATTCACCGGAATCGTTTCAAATTTCGTATTAGGAGATCTTAATGGTAACTACAATCTATTAAAAAAATCATATGAAGGTCCAGTATAGTCTCTATATAAAGGTAACTCCCGATATCCTGTATTTTCATTTATTCATTTGTTTACCGGAATTATTTCAAATAAGGTATTTAAAGTTCGTAATGGGTACTACAGCATATGACAAAATAAATTCGTATGTTGGTCCCCTTTGTTGTATATTCCCCATATAACGGTATTTACCGGAATTGTTTCAAATTTGGTATTTAAATTTCGTAATAGGTGCTATAGCCAATGACAAGAATTTTTGTATGCAGGTCTACGTCTTCGTATAACCCCCATATGACGGTACCTTCTAATACTCGGTATTTTTATGTTTATGAAAATTAGTGTATAAAGTTTTGATTAAAAAACTTGTCAAACTGAACAAATTGGCAATTTTTATACCCTTCAACACCATGTGTTGGGGTTATTTTAAGTTTGATTGGGCCAAAATGTATGTAACACCTCGAAATATTGGTTTCCCATATAGGAAAGTATATATGGATCTTCCTAGCTCGCCGAGCTGAGTCGATCTAGCTATGTATGTCCGTCCGTCCGTCTGTCCGTGTTAATTTGTAATCACGCTACAGGTTGCAATTATGGCCCGATCCTTACGAAATTTTGCATGAAGGTGGGGTTAGGGTCAGAATAGAAGCCTATTTATTTTGGAGATGATCGCCAAATGTTTAGTGGTTGAAATAGACCAAATACTGAAAAAATGTCGGATTTTGCATTAGCTATACAAGTCGCAATTATAGACCAATCGACGCGGAATTTTGCATGAAGCTAGAGTTTAGGGCGGGGAAGAAGCCTACCAATTTGGGTGGTCATCAGATAATATATAGCGGGTAAAATAGACCATATCTTTTGTGTTGAAAAAATTCAAAATTTTTCATTAAACCGTGAATATTTGAAATCCCGGCGAAATCACAAAGCCATGACAAGGTTACTTCTGACCTTTACATTGATGTTAACATCCAACAAATCGGATATATAGCAAAATATGTGCGATATATATGTCTATCAAAGAAGATATGCTTGTCGAGAACGGCTGAACTGATTTCGACAGTTCTCATTAATTCAGAATGGCCTCTTGGCAGGAAAGAAAAAACGTCTAAAAAATCGCATAAAAATATCTCTCTAAAGATGAAAATATTGATTTTCTAACATTTTCTTATATTTTTTTCAATTTTGTCATATTTTTGCATATTTTCATTTTGAATTAAACATTTGGTAATATTTCTACAGCTAACAAAACTAAGTAGTTAGGATATCAAGATATCATATACAGATCGCATTTATGCCCCAATCCTTTCGAAATTTAGCATGGGGATAAGATGAAGGTCAGAATAGAAGCCTACTCTTTTTGGATATGATCGCCATATATTTAGGGGTTGAAATGGACCAAAAAACTGCAAAATTATCAGCAGGTCGTAATTATCGACCGATCCTCACGCACATTTGAATGGGCGTTACCGGACATTACCAAAAATATTCAATGTGTGAAATAGTTTGCCAACTTTTGTAGACAAAATACGAAAATGTCCATTCCAGTGACTTTTTGGAGAATTCACAAATACAGGAAAGACGCACTTCTGACTATTTCGTCGAAGAATATAGTCAAATGTCTGTATCATATATAGATGCGTTTCAGTCAAAAACCAATAATAAATGTTAATCTTTTGCCACTTCTGAGAGATTATAGGTTTTTGGGAAATATTGGTTCCAGATCTAGGAAGACCATTTACGTGCAACATCTACCAACAAATTGGAAATGAGCAAATTAGTTTAAGTTGCTATTATTCGAAAATTAAAGAACGAAACCTGATGGTTTTCTTTTATTATTTGCCACAATATCTTGTGGAATTCTTTCGGGTATCTCGCCTATATAAACTGTATCATTTATTATAGTGTTGTAGGGTATTCAACGGTCGGCCCCGCTCGACTGTAGCCTTGGCTTACTTGTTAGTACTAAAAATGCCTAACACGAACGAATCAATAATTTAAAGATGTTCTTTTCGTTTAAATGTTTAAAATTGGTTTTTCATTTTCTCTTATGGTCTTGATGTACAAATGTCCAAATATAATTTTGGATAAAGAAAAAAATGTCATATTCTTCAAAAGAATTAAATAACTTTAGCTGAATTGTATATGACATGTTTTATTTTATATAATATGAAATACATACCCAAATAAATATTTTATATATTTATTATTATTATTTTTATTTTTTTGCAGGTGAGCCTGAATTTATTATCAACGAGGAAATATGTAAGTTAATAATATCTGAAATGTGATGAAATTCTTACAAATAATTTATTTTATGAAAGCTCTATAAAATATGTACCGTCTCTTGCTTTTAGAAACAGTTGTTTAATCTTAACGGTATTCTTTTTGTAACGATCTATAAAAGTGTAATTAAAATAACTTTTTAAATACCTTCTATGCGGAGAAGGCCTTAAATGAGTGTCCTACACAAAGAAGGCAAAGAATAGATCTTCAATATTTAGCAGACGTGTAAAATGTGCTATTTTTCCCTTAAAATGTCTCTATCTCAGAGCTGTAGAAGACTTTTTGAAGATCTCCTGTAACGGTCTTCTGTAAATAGAATACTTTTATTTTTCGTCCATAAATAGATTTCTTTCTTTTTTTATTAAAAAAAACCTACTTTTGAATTTTGTTCCCTAAATGTTGCGATTAAATGAAAGTTTCGAGTCGATTATATTTAAATCTATCATAACAAAATAAATAAATAACAAGTAACCAAAGGCTATAGTTGTGCGGGGCCGACCGTATGATACCCCGTAACACTACAATATGTTAGAAGCCCCCATTATGTCCAAAGATTAAGGTTTAAGATTTGGCTCTTGAAGTTATGTCATAGAGCACTGCCCAGATATTACCTTTAGCTTTTTGGCCAGGGACATTTGCCCAATATTTACGCACTCCATCGTGTGTTAGTTGTTGTGGTCCATTTTACAGTTAATATAATCCAAAGGGAATTCAAAATGCTAGACTTCTCCCCTGTCCTTAACTATATTCTCATGCAAAATTCCGTGACGATTGAGTTCAATTGTGTGATCAGGAAAATTGCTCTATTTTGGGTTCATTTGAACCCTTAAATATTTTACGATCATCTCCAAAAGCAAGAGGCCCCTCTGTATCTCCAAACTTCGACTCATTTATATGATTTTCTTGTCTACAGTATTTTGCTATAATCGTCAACGAAATCAGCATAAACAAGTAAAAAAGATGTACGTTCAGCCGGGTCGAACTTTGAATTCCCCACACCATTTGGTACAAATTTGGCAATTTTGAAAAAAATAAAATAAGTTAAAAATTCTGTTTCAATACGTGGACCTGCATAGGCAACTTTTGTCATAAGCTATTACAATATTCAAATTCGAAACTTGAAAAAAAAATCATCAAAATACCGAATATCGGAAGGTACCGTTATATGGGGCCTATACGAAGACGTGGACCTACATGGCCCATTTCAAGTCCTGCAGACATAATACAAATTTGAGTAAATTTTTATCCATCTACTTCATTTCGTTCAGAAGCTAGAGTAATTTCCACAGACGGTCAGAGGGGGGAAATAGCTAAATCGACATAGAATTTTATGCTGATCAAGAATATATATATTTTGTGGGGCCTAAAATGTATATTTCTAGGTGTTACAAACGGCATGACAAACTTAATATACCCTCCATACTATGGTGGAGGGTATAAAAAACCAGAAGTTCGCCTATTGTGTATTTTGAATTTAGCCTCTTAGTTATTTTCAGCGTTTCGGTAGAATGGAAATTATGGTATTTTTCACAAAAAGTAATGGTCCATGGTACTCGCTGTCCTAAAATTTAATTTCATGCGAGGTTTCGTTTTCATTGATTTCTGTTTGTGACCTTTATAACGGCTGAAAAATCAGGAACAATGTTTGTTGTTGGTCCATTCCAACCCCTAAATATATTGCGGACATCTTTAAAAATAATAGGCCTAGCTTTTCTGAGTCTAACCCTACCCTTGTGCAATAAAAAATTAAAAAAAAAATGTCACAAAATACTACAAAATCTATATTAGTACTATTATCTTTTTATGCGATTTTTTTTAGATTTTATACTTTAAGGCCAACAGGGCATTCTTAATTGACAAAATCGGTCCAGCCATTCTTGAGATATAGGCATTCTAACTAACATCCCCTTCCTTTGTATATACACATTGTATATATTTCGCGATATATATCCGATATATTTACTATCGGCATCTACTTAACTGTCAGAATTGACCTTTTCCTCTAGTTGTTATTTCGCCGGGATTAAAAATATTCGCGGTTTAGTGGGGGAACTTGCCCTCTTTATTTATGTTACTTTGCGATATAAACTTTGGAAGCGCTGATACACGTAACTCCTTTTTTAGCTCTACTTTCATAATCTGCTGGATTTTCCCCGTATTCATTGAAGACAAGTAAGCAAAGGCTAGAGTCGAGCGGGGCCGACCGTTGAATACCCTACAACACTATAATAAACGATACAGTTTATATAGGCGAGATACTCGAAAGAATTGCACAAGATATTGTGACAAATAATAGAAGAAAACCATCAGGTTTCGTTCTCTAATTTTCGAATAATAGCAACTTAAAATAATTTGCTCATTTCCAATTTATTGGTAGATGTTGCACGTAAATGGTCTTCCTAGATCTGGAACCAATATTTCCCAAAGACCTATAATATCTTAGAAGTGGCAAAAGATTAACATTTATTATTGGTTTTTGACTGAAACGCATCTATATGAGATACAGACATTTGACTATATTCTTCCACGAAATCTGCGTTAACGAAATAGTCAGAAGTGCGTCTTTCCTGCATTTGTGAATTCTACAAAAAGTCACTGGAATGGACATTTTCTTATTTTGTCTATAAAAGTTGGCAAACTCCTTCACACATTGAATATTTTTGGATGGCCATCCAAAACTGCTTGGCTTTTGCAATGTCCGGCAACCCCCATAATTACGACCTGTTGACAATTTTGCAGTTTTTTGATCCATTTCAACCCCTAAATATATGGCTATCATCTCCAAAAAGAATAGGCTTTTATTCTGACCCTCATCTTATCTCCATGCAAAATTTCGTAAGGATTGGGCCATAAATGCGATCTGTATCATATACTGATATCCTAACTACTTAGTTTTGTTAGCTGTAGAAATATTACCTAATGTTTAATTCAAAATGAAAATATGCCAAAAATATGACAAAATTGAAAAAAAATGTGAGAAAATTTTACAAAATCAATATTTTCATCTTTAGAGAGATATTTTTATGCGATTTTTGTAGACGTTTTTTCTTTCCTGCCAGGAGGCCATTCTGAATTAATAAGAACTGTCGAATTCAGTTCAGCCGTTCTCGACATATAAGATATTTTTCAAGCATATCTTCTTTTATAAACATATATATCGCATATATTTTCTATATATCCGTTTTGTTGGATGTTAACATCAATGTGAAGGTCAGAAGTAACCTTGTGATGGCTTTGTGATTTCGCCGGGATTTAAAACATTCGCGGTTTAATGAAAAATTTTGAATTTTTTCAACACAAAATATATGGTCTATTTTACCCGCTAAATATTATCCGATGACCACCCAAATGGGTAGGCTTCTTGTCAGCCCTAAACTCTAGCTACATGCGTCGATTGGTCTATAATTGCGACCTGTAGAGCAAGTGCAAAATCAGGAATTTTTTCAGTTTTTGGTCCATTTCAACCCCTAAATATTATGCGATCATCACCAAAAGAAATAGGGTTCTATTCTGACCCTAGCCCCACCTCCATTTTAAATTTCGTGAAGATCGGACCGTAATTGCGACCTGTAGAGTGATTACAAATTAACATGGACAGACGGACGGACGGACATACATAGCTAGATCGACTCAGCTCGGCGAGCTAGGAAGATCCATATATACTTTCCTATATGGGAAATCAATATTTCGTGGTGTTACATAATTTTTGGCCCAATCAAACTTATAATACCCCCAACACATAGTGTTGTAGGGTATAAAAATTGAAATTTGTCGCACAGTGTAATATGAATGTAGGATGGTCTCACCTCTTTGGTGTACGATTGGTTGGTTCACCAAAAAAGTAATGCAAATATAAATAACATCCCGTGGTAGTTACGTATATTTACCATGACATATAAATATTTTAATTTATATAATGTTTCCGGTACTCTTGGGAAACGCACTGTCGTTACATTTTCTTTATCATTACCATAGATATTTTTCGTATTGTAATAAACATAAATAATATTGGAGGAAAAACCCCGCCATCACATAGGCCCTCTAGAAGAACACGTTCAAATATTTTGTCCTTTACCTTATGTTACTTTTAATTTTTTTCCACACATCTTCACATATTACAATGATAAGCTGGCTAGAAAGCAAAAAAAAAATCGACAAACGATGCATAATTTCATACAAAGAGTAGAAGAGCAAAAATATATGCGTCCTCTATGAGGTATGTATTTCACCGTACCTTTAGGCTAGGTATGACCATAAAAATGTAAGTGATATCTTGAGCCCAGATGGTCGTGTTGTGGAATCCACAAGATGTTGATTTTGCTGAGGTTGGGGGGACGAGAAGAAAAAGAAGAACATATTACACACATTACATATACTTGCATAGATTTATATCACTTCCGGACAGCAATGAAGAGAAGAAGACTTCTTTCATATGTTTCAACATTCGTAGGGTGGTTTACACATATTTTTGGCCTCATAAATTTCATTGGGTTTATTATTTTACTGAAATTACAGAAATTTACAAAATTTCATCCTTTCCAGCTCACGCACACACACACACCGATATTCTTATATTCAGTCACTTATATACATACAACAATTTATGCATACATATGCAAGTTGAAATCGTTGTTTATGGCTAAGGGAATTGTTGGGTGGCGATGCTTTTGACGACAGCCAGCAAAAAAATAACGACAGAAGGTGGTGTCAGTTGAGTGACTCTGATGGAAGTAACAACCATCAACAGTCATAAGTATGTTGGCAGTGTTGCCAGGTTGTTAAGGTTATTTTGGCCAAACTGGATGTGTGTATGGATACATTCAAGAGTACGAAAGTTACTAAAAAGTACAAAATAATACAGCATTGCTATGAATCTTTAGATTTGATTGGAAAGGTGTAAGATATTGTTGGACAATCGTATTCAAATGGAATGAGATTTTTATTGCAGATCGGTTAAATCAAACTTTTGAAATCAAAGG